TTTTTTTGGTCCCAAAGCCTCCCTTGGTCTGCTATAAACACTGCCTTGTAAATTAATTACTGTCAGCATCATTAAGAATAGTAGACATTATGGTGCTATTTAAATTAAAAATACAGGTGCAAGAATTACGTTTTAAGATACTTATGTGTGGAAGTGTTTGTAAATAATTTTGAATTTCTTGGAAGGATGTCAATTTTTGCCTATTTGTGATAGGTGCACACTAATTCAAAGTCTGCAGCAATCATTATTTGCATCTTTAACAACTGCACAGCCAATACTGACACCTCGGGTATGATCTTTACCACATATAAAGTAGCATCATTTTTTCCTCTCCTTCCATCAAAGGCAAGAGCAACATTCTGTTCTGTGCCCTTCTGCAGCAATTAGTATTTCTTTTGCATGCTAATATTGGACATAAAATGGTCCTGAGACGTTATGCTGCCTTGTCTGCCTTTAATGAAAGAACTTGACAAAATGGAAAAGATAAATGCAAAACTCTCTGCTGCAGTCGAAGAGGTTACGCTTGAGCATTGCAAGAAGAATGAGGTGATTGCAGTTTAAATGTTCGCATGAGATCATCTCATGCATTCCTTCTCATTGTTGGATATTATTCTATCCTTGCATATTTCTTTGAGTATTAGTAGAGCATATTTAAAACGTAATGGTGCAAAATGCCCATAGTCTTGGTTTCTTGGAGGCTGTTTACTAGAATATTCTTTTTAGTGAGTTTATTTTGATGAAATATTTTAAAAATCAGCTTAATGTTTGACCTCTTAAAAAGTTCTACCTGGTCGTTAGCATTGAGTGCAAGAAATCAAGGGTGTTCGTTTGATGAAAAATAGTACTAGTAAATTTTTCTGTGCAAGATCATTTTAATTTGTGTTCCTGCATCTAAAATTGAGAGTAAGTTCATCTTAGAAATACATAGTTATTTGGACGGAAGGACAATTCTACAGCTTTAAGACCAAGCAGTTCCTTCTCCCACAATTGCTCACCAATCTAGCTCATTAATTCTCAGTTAATGAACTTTCAGCTCTATAAAATATAAGACACGTACAAAAAACTTACGTCCTGATTTTACATCATGCTTGCATGCCTAGCTTCAAAATATTTTGCCTGATTGGGAAATCCCAGTCACCAGTTGATAATCTGCTTTCATATTTCTTTATCACCACCAGACAAAGTTACAGTTGAGTCTGCCTTATCACTTATAATATTTTTGTTGCATGATTCACCACCTTCCTCCAAACTATTTGTACTGACCAGCATTCTTGATGGCATGCAGATTGTAAAACATCATTCTCAAGGGGTCGGGCTTCAAAGCCGTGTTTTTGTGAACTTCTTTTCCAATCCTGAACTCCTGAGGAACCAAGTTAGGGAATTAACAGCTTGTGTTAGAGCTTTATAAGTTTCATGATACCATACTAATATACCATGATACTCGATTTCCCCACCTTTTTCCATTCACAGCATCTGTGGATGTATCTAAAGCTCTGTTGTAAAAAATCCCAACATTTATGATCCCTCACTGCCAAGACCATATGAAATTGAAACGGTAGGCAATTTGAATTGTTCTCTTTTCATCTATTGGAACAATTTAGTGGAAGTACACGGAAATCCAGTACTTTTTCTTACCATTATACTGAAAATTCCAAGGTTTTATTTCAGGCAGGGGCGGTGGAAATATGAACTATCAAGTAAAAAATCTCCCAAATTCCAGAAAACCTGGGAAAATTTACCTGATCTTGTTTGCTATTTCCATAATGATTCATTGACAATATTTATTACCTTTTCTTGACAACAACATGATATCAAACTAGTTAGTTAATATATTGTGAATCATACATCCCGGTACTAAGTTGTTTTTTTTTTTTTTACAAAGATAATAGTTAAGAAGTTAGTATGAATTAGTTGTTAATAACTGATTTTCTGACTAGATGAATATTTCACCCTCTCAAATGAGGTGTGCGGCCATTAAGTCACTTTTTGGTGGAATTCACGACGGTGGTGAAGTTCGAAGTTCCGACCACCTCATTCAAGCACTTAAGGTTTGAGCACTAACAATTGGACCTAAAGGTGTTCACCCCGGCACTAAGTTAAAAGAACTAAAAACAATAAAGTTAATGTCATGTCATGTTGTAAACAAGTATCATCAATATCCGTTAGGGACATGTTATTGGTTAAAAATTTAAACCATGTCAGAGATTTTAAGTTTAAAAATTAAGATGAATGAGTAGTGTAAGAAAGTAAAAGTTATTTCTTATTATATATCTTATTATACATACTAAAAAAAACATTATTAATAAGGAATGATTTTCGTTAGTTATTCATACTGTAAAGGAAATTTTATTGCAGGAAAAAATAAAAAGTCTAGAATGTTAACCCCATCCAAGCTTTAATAATAATGAAAGAAGCACTGTGCCTGAATGCAAAAGTGAAATGAAAGTGGAGAACCATAAGTGCCCGCCTTCTATGCACCTTTCTTTTGTTGTCCCTTTGCGTTATCTTGGTTTATTTCTTTTCCTTCTCAAAATTCAAACCTTGCTTTCTTCTATTCTCCCCATTTATATCTTATTAGTCGAAAACATGAACCAAGTCAAAATTTCTGAAATTGTAATTGTGGATAGGAAGGGAGGAAAAGAGGAAAACCTGAAGATAACAGCAAGCAAGAGAGTGAAAGCTGGGATCAAGTTACTCATTGCTGAACCTAGGGTAGGGGAACTGTAGGGAATACCAGTTAACACATAGTTCTGCATTATTGTAATTTGGCAAAACCCAGATGCATCATCAAATTTCTGGATTGAAGGAACCAAATGATAACATGGATCTCTCGTTGATTATGATGGAAAATACCTATTGAGGAAGAGAGTAATGGGGAGGAGGGTGAGAGAGCCCAAAGCATTTCCATAGACAACCAAGTCAAAGGGACTCGCTCCCTTTGACATAGCAGCTTTGCTGAGTGTAGTCAAGCCAACATCCAGACACTCCACCGGCACTATCGCCGCAAATGGCGCCAATCCCACCAAGAAGGACTTCATCCTCATCTTTCCTCTCCCTCCATCTCAGATTTTGGGGATTATTGACTGTGTTTTACCAATTTATTATTATAGCTTTGAAGCTGTTTCCATATGTCCAGCTGGTGGACCTAATATTATAGAAAAAGGACTTCAATTGAATGTTGGTTCCTGGGGGGGTACCCACCTGCGTCTCCTCCACCAGAAGGTAAAATGATACGAGAATTTTGCAAGTTAGTTTCATTCCCATTAAAAATATTAGAGTTTTAACGTTAAAAATATCACATTTAATAAATATTTAAAAAAAATAGTTGTTTTTAATGTTATAGTATTAGTATAGATTATATATGTTAATTTTTAAATTATTTTAATATACTTAATTAGTTAATTGATTAGATAAAATTTAATTCAATTAAATAAATTATATATTTTTTTTATATT